TCTTACCATGCTGCTGCTGTCAGCATGTGACTGTGAATCCCCAGTGCCAGCCCACGATCATCCCTTCACGCAAAGTAGATGCTTCACTCAGTGCAGTTTTCAAAAGGCATCTCCACTGCACAAACCATGCTTGTCAAAGACACTGCTCATTTTGAATTTTTAAGTGATATATTCATGTTTTCTAATAAAAACCTGGGTTCCCAAGATGACAAACAGAAAAGAAACACTTAAAGAGACCAGCCTACAAGAAGGCATCACTGGCTAAAAACATCAGGAAGATGTACACTGATGGAAATTCTTGTTCTGTGATCTTAAATAGCCGAGATGATGATCCCATAGTTTCTTGTGTGAAATGATAATCTAAAGTTATCTCCTAATAATCTTCTTTCTTAGGTCACACCTAAACCTTAATGGCACACTCCTTGTCAAAAATACAAAAAAAAAGATACTGTCCTGACTGTAGAAATAATGCATTTTAGGGAAATGAAATGTTCTTCAGGGCAGCACACTCTGGCTCCGTGTTTTATCCCTGAGCACTTACTTCTCCCTGCGTCAGTGATCTGTAGAAGTCTCCTTGGGTCTTCCTAGTTAATGGTGGCCTCACACCTTTCCTTCCAGGAATAAAGGAAATGGCAAGACTAACTTTCCCTGAATTTTTCCCCTACCAAAAACCTTGTTGTGGAAAATTTCAGCATGAAGGTGTGGATCAGGTACACAGAGAGCACATACATGGTATGTATATATGTTACATATATATGTAGCAAGTCTTAGAAAACACCAGTTGCCTTTATATTCCATCTGGTGGGGTCCACGTGTCCTACTCACTGCGTCTTAGGCTGGCAGCAAACCAGAATTTTTTAGGGGGAAGATAATATTGCATTCTCAGTTAGACACTGACTGATGCATCAGTATGTGATCAAACAGAAGAGATATGGTTTCCTGTTTAGTAGATATACTGAAAAAAAAAACCCCTCTGAATTATTATTTTTTTAAGCTGTTAACATCCCTTAAAATTCTAACTCTTAATGTCTCTTCAGCTTTTGATGAGTGTGATTGGAAACAGCTGTATCTAAACAATTTCACCATCAAATGAGAATGGTCTTGAAAATAAAAGACTTCTTTGTGTACAAATACAAGAACTACAGTTTAGCCAGATTTAGATTTTGCAATGCCTTTGTTGAGTCATTACTATCTTGTCCTGAAAAAGAGACTGATAATTATATAGCATGATTAAAATGCAATTCCAACACAGTCTTGGAAGGCAAATAGGGGTGAAGTTTGAGACCTCATCAATATGAGATACTGAGCAAAGCAGACCTACTACCAAAACATTCATATCTTCAATTCTCACCACTGATAGGGGTCTCATCACTCTTAACCAGAACACTATTTAGGTTCTCAAATTAATTTAGGCATAACAGGGGGTGAAAATGCTGTAAAGCCCTGTTAATAGTGAGTAGTATAAGTAATAAGCCCTTAAAAGCATTCAGAGAGAATTTAATAGTTAGTTTATTTATATTTTAAAGAGATAAAATAGTTCAAGCATGCAGTAAATGGTTATAATTTTCCTATACAACACTTGGGTCTTTTAAAATACGCTCAGTATTGGATTTTAATATCTAACTCAAATAGATTTCCTTTCTACTATTAACGTGGGTATTTTTGAAACATTTATTTTCCTGTGTTATTAAGCAGCCATGCTGCTAGGCACAGCCCATAAATCTGAGTGGAGTGTTAGTCCTTCACCTGGGGCATTAGAAGTAGAGAGTAGGGACAGCAGTATTGTTAGTGGTAGTGTGATTGTGTTGCTCTGAGAACCACCCCTTTCTGGGCCAGCAATTTCCACAGAAATTGAGTACAGAATGGGCTTCTTGTGCAAGAAAGCACTGCTGATATATTAACTAAATGTCAAAAATGGTAGATGTCAAAACCAGTTGCCAAGAGCTGAACAAGTTCATGTCTTATTCATGAGTGTGTTTTAAGCGAGCCCATACTTAGTCTATCAACAGCCATGTAAGATTAGCTTGTGTGTGTGCATGATTATCAGGATTTACAGCAGTTTACCATTAAGATATTAATTCAATTTACTTCAACTACCCTAATGTTGACAGTATGACTTAAAGTATTCCCCAGGGACAAAGACTAGTTGTATTTTGCATATTATACAAGTATTTCCTGGAAGAAAAAGGAAAAAGTTGCACAAAATTGTTTATTATTATTAAATAAAAGTAAACAAAGTGATTTTAGTTTTGTTTGTTTATTTGGGGTTTTTTGTTGTTGTTTGTGGTTTTGAGGGGGGTTTTCGGTTCAAATCCAGGTTGGATGAGGCCTTGAGCAACCTGGTGTAGTGGGAGGTGTCCCTGCCCATGGCAGTAGGAGTTGGGAGTAGATGATCTTTAAGGTCCATTCCTTAATATTCTATGATCCTATGATTCAGTGATGATAATAATGATGATTATTAACTTTGGGCATATAAAATACTGTCTAAACAGCATGTTCCCTCCTTTTCTACTTGAATCACCACAAACCTGCGTAGGAACAGTAGGTGAGTAAATGAATCCCATGCCTCTGGAAATCAGTAAACATACATACGCAAATATTTGGATTAAATGAAAATTTCAGGAGGTCAGGTACATGTTTGATCATCCATATTCATATACACATACATACATATGTCTATATATACGTGTGTCTTTGTATATAAATACACACATATATGTAGGAGTGCATATAGATGTATATTTATGTATCATAATTTGACCACTGTCCATCTGTGTATATATTGAGAAATAAATGAGTAATTATACTTTTTTATCTTTATAGTTTTTCAAATACACAGTCTAAAACTCTAAAAATACACTTTATAAATATAAACTACCAGAGTACTTTAATGCCAGAAAACAAAGTTTTCTGAGAATTTTGAAACAGAAAATTTGATACAGAGTGAGTATCTTTAACTGCATTTCAGGGGCCAGGAGAAGGAAAATTTCTGGCTCCAGAGGCTGGGTTACACCTTTGAAGAGCACAAACTCCACCTAGTGATAGGTTCAATAATGAAATTTAGAAAACCAACAATTCTAAAGCACAATCTCAGTTGTATGACAGGACTGTGAAAACGAGAAATAAAAATTTAAGTTGATACAGTTGCCTTTGTGAAAGTAAGAAAATGACAGAGAAAAATGTACTGTTAATGTTTCTAGACCTCTTTGCTACTCGCCAGTTTATGAAAACCTTTCAGTAACAAAACACCCTCACATTTGTGAACTTGTGAAAATACCCTCTAAATTAATACACATACAACTTCTTTTATTTGTTTAATCTTTTTATTAACAAGGAAGATATGTAAAAAAAGACATCCAAATAGATTAAATTGTTCCTGCTTCTTGTTAAGCAAAGGGTATGGACAAGATAAATGTACAAGTCCCTGAAACTGCTTTGACGTACAGCAGTTTACAGTCCATTACATAAACCTCTTTAGCATTAGATTTAAGGATAATTCCCACTTTAAAGTAATATTTCTCACTAAATTAGTTCACCTTTAAAAAAGAAATTGTCCTTACAGTAACAATTTCTGTGACTGATATCCTGCTAAAAAAATAATTAATGTTTATTTAAATTAATGAGGGTACCATTTACTTCATTTCCCCTTTTCCACTTTACTATTCTCAACAGTATCCAAGTAGAATAGAAACCACATGTGCATTCAGGAAAAGAAAAAATTATTTAAATATAATGCAGACAAAAAATAGCTCATGTAAGGTACATTGTAGAACACAGGAGTATCCTGAAGAAAACTAACAGAAACAAAAGGATCTCAATTAACTCTGGCAAAGGATGATCCAAGGATCCAGGTTTTTAATATGATGATTACTGTAGCATAGAGGAGGCTCTCTGAAAGAATCTGAGCACCTGCCACACTTGCAAGGACAAACAGTTCAGGAGAATCAAGTTCTAGGACAAAAACAACTCTGGGCACTTCTGACCATACTATATAAAGTTTAAGCAACTCTGACAATCTCTCCCTTGTAAAGTATCCTGAAAAGTGCTCAGCTTATAAAAAATTCTTTGTTTTATATTTATGCTAGAGCTTGTCTATATTCATTAAAAAACCTAAGCATATTTTAGTAAGGGGCAAACAGAGGCCCTGTATCACATTCATCACGGTAAGGGTCCAGAAGTCTATGGGGCCAAATGGGATCCACCCAAAGGTACTGATGGACCTGTTGGAAGAGCTCACTGAGACACTTTCCATTGTTTATCATCAGCCCTGGCTAACAGAGGAGGTCTCAGGTGTCTGAAAGTTGGAAAATGTGATGCCCATCTACAAGAAGGGTCAGAAGGACAATCTGGAGAACTACAGGCCTGTCAGCCTGACCTCAGTGCCAGGGAAGACTATGGAGCAGATCATCTTGAGTGCAACCACATGGCATGTGCAGGGACAGCCAGGGGATCAGACCCAGCCAACATGGGCTTAGGAAACCATGCAGTGCTACAGGCTGGGGGTAGAGTGGCTGGAAAGTGGCCCAGCTGACAAGGACCTACAGCAGCTGGACATGAGTCAGAAGTGTGCCCAGGTGGCCAAGAAGACCAATGGCATCCTGGCCTGTATCAGCAAGAGTGTGGCCAGCAGGAGTAGGGAAATGATTATCCCTGTGTCCTCAGCACTGGTGGGGCCACACCTTGAGTACTGGGTTCAGTTTTGGGTCTCCTACTTTAGAAAAGGCACTGAGGCGCTGGAATGTTTCCAGAGAAGGGTAACGGAGCTGGTGAAGGGACTGGAGCATAAATCCAAGGAGAAGCAGCTGAGGGAGTTGGGGGTGTTTATCCTGGAGAAAAGAAGGCTCAGGGGAAACCTTACTGCTCTCTACAAGTCCCTGAAAGGAGGGTGTAGTGATGTGGGCATCAGTCTCTCCTCCCACATAACAAGTGACAGGATGAGAGGAAATGGCCTCAAGTTCTGCCAGGGGAGGTTCAGGTTGGATATTAGGAAAAATTTCTTCACTGAAAAGATTATCAAGCATTGGAACAGAGTGCCCAGGGAAGGGGTAGAGTCACCATCCCTGGAAGTATCCAAAAGGCGTGTAGATACGGCACTCAGGGACATGACGTAGTGGGGAAGATGGTGGTGCAGGGTTATCTGTGGGACTCAATGATCATAGATGGTTTTTCCATCTTTAATATATCTATGATTCTAAGGGTTATATTTATTATTCACCTGACTAAATTGAGAAATCAAATTTCATTTAGTGGGAATGTCAGTAATCAGATAGTCAGTTTGTGACTTCTGCCTCTTCTACTAATTGAAAAAGCAAACATTCTGCTCTTCCATACCAATAATGAGATTCATTGCTCCTGCTGCAAAGTCTCTATTTGAAGAAAAGCCAAGCTGCCTGAGAAAATCATGAATATTTATCCCACCATGATCTGTCTGGCATACCAATATATGCCACAGTAATTCTGGTTACATTATTTTCCTGTAAGAAAAGCTTCACTAGATATGGATGTTCAAAGAATATAGGATTAGAATCCAAGCGAAACAAGAGTGAGGATGTCCAGTTTTCACTGGGCCTGATCCTGTGAGGAGAGAGGCCCAACAGCTTATTCTGATCTCAGCAGGAGTAAAGGTGTTCAGCACCTCTCAGAAATAAAAGGTTTCTCCAAGTGCCAGTTTGGCAGGATAGTTACTTACATATTTTCTTACATACTTCTCTTAGGTACTGTTCCCTATGGGACTGCTGCCATACATGAAATTAGGCATGAACTCAAGTAACTTCTTCCATAATGGCCTACACCTTAACTTGAAAGTTCTATTGCTACTTTTCTAAGTCAAAACATGTTTGTAAGTAACTGAGTACCCCCAATATTCTTAACTAAGTTGTTAAATCAAATAATATCTTACATCAGATATAATTTTGCAAGAGTATCATACCGAAAGTGGTACTCTGTAGACTGGCGCAGAATAAAATTATTTAGAAAAAAACCATAAAATGACTGTATTCAACTTTTCACACACAACCCCCACATTTTGTTTTAGAACACCAACAGGTAAGGCCACAGAACTCCAGCAAGGTGCTGATAAGTATATCAATTTAAACAATTAAAATTACCAATAAATATCAAGAAAATCATCTGCCTATTTAAAATTACAGTAATCAAATCAATCAAAAAGAGCAGCTACCAACATTGCAAGTCATAACTGTTTTCAAGTAAAAATTGCACTATGTGCTTTAAGACTGTCACATTCTCACATATTATAACAGTGTTAGAGTAACATACATGTATTAACTTTCATCCTTCTGTCCTGGTTAGTCACAGTTTCACTGGAATTCTCCAATGTATGATTCTGATTTTCATCCTTACTGTCTTCACCAGGTAAATCTTCCTTTTCTTTTTCTTCAGTCTGTAATGGCTTTTCAGATCTGTCTTCCTTTCTGCTACATACATTCTTCTGGCCTGTCAGTGGCTTTCGCTTAAACAGGGAAAACTGAAGTAAAAAAACAGGTAAATAATATGTGCAAAACAGTTAGCTCTGAAATTCAAGATTAAAAACCACAAACCCTTTTGTGCATGACAAGGTCAACTGAGGTTGTAAATTTCTCCTTGGTAAAATAAATAATCTCTTAAAAACAAAATGACTACTTCAAAATGTTAATGAAAAACATTTGCAATATTTGAAATGTGTCAAAACAGTACATGTGAACCAGAGAAGTTAAAATGATTGCATTTTGTTAAATTATACATTGTACAGTTTGTACTAAATACTGCAAGTGGTGCAATTATTTGGGTTTCCTTCAAATAAGAATCTGAGGCAAGGTCCAAAAAATACAGGTTCAGATCTCCAAAGCCCCAGAACAGTAAGTGCTTAATATGCTTCCTTAAAAACGTGTGTACTCCCGTTAATGACAGTGCTTGTGTCAGTGAGACTACACACGTGCTCAGAGTTAACTGGTGCTTAAGGTCTTTGTTCAACAGGAAACACAGCAGCCAGTCTCTGCAGAAGCCTCTGGATCCTAAACCTGTAAGAAATTCCATATCAGGTACTCCTCAACATGCTTATACACACATATATAGATATATATGATCCCCAAATCAGTGTATGTTGGAAATAGATGCAAGATAAACTAGCTTAGCTGCTGCTTTAAGAGAGAAATATGAGGGAAAATAGATAATGTCCCATATGAATCAAGTCCTAAGTTTTCACCTCACCAATATGTGATGTGATGTGATGTGATGTGATGTGTGATGTGATGTGATGTGACGAACAACCTGTCTTTTACATGAACAGGTGATAATGGGCTTTATCTCATTTCTACTATGATTTATTCTAAGAGAGCAATTATTTGGACAATTATCACAAAATAAAATCAAATCTTAAAGAGGAGGAACAGGTTGCTCAGCAGTTTAATTATTTGTGCAGATCATGTAAATTGAGGTATTTGCATTGGTAACTGCCCACTGCCACCTTGCTCACTCACAAAACTAGAAGGAAAAACCAGGCCACCCACCTTTTTTCTCCCAACAATTCCTCCAGTTATTTGGTCATCATTGTTCTCTGAAGAATTTTTCACAGTATGATTGTTGGTGCTTTCTTCATCTAAAATAACATAAACATTTATATAAACTTCTCTCTGACTCATGCAAATCATAAAAATATCACAGAAAAACAGAAAACAACCCCAAAAAATTGTTCTTCAAATTATTTTTGAAGTAGAAGTCACAAAAAATGTGGATCTTAAAAAAAAACAATCAGAATATTCAGTTCAACTTGACACCTGGCCTGACAAGACTATTTTTATTTTTTTAATTTCTCTAAATATTGCCCTTATAATGCTCTTCAGATGCTTGATTCTCAAGAACAGAACACTTATGGTAGTGACACTATATAAAATATTTTGACTTAACACTCATAGTTTGCTCTTGCTGACAGATGACAAAGTCTTGCACACTGATTTGAAAGTATATTCTAATTTGGGAAAGCTGGCTGTTAGGGCAGGAGTTACAGTTAAGCATGAATTTTATTCCATAGAAACAATTCTGGGAATGGAAAAACTTTCCATTTGAGTTGATGTTCCTGTGTTTAAATTTTCCTATGCTCCCTGTAAAAATCATATAAATTTAGAACTTAATATCAAAACTTCCAGATCACTAGATAATGGAAAAATATTTAAGTATCCATTCTGTACAAGCTATTTCTACTATAATATTGAAAATAAATGGCATAGCTTCTTCTTTATAAAGGCTTTATTATAATAAAGGTTTTTTTTTATATATCACATGTTATTCTATTTCAAAAGAACAATTATAGATTATTCCAGAATTTCTAAAACAAAAGAAGCCCTTCATATATGGGGTACCCAACTTTGTGCTCCCCAGCTTTTCTAAAGGAATATATAATTCACAAAAACTGTCATCAAAACTACAGAGAACATCTAGACTTGCATCCTCAGCATCTCTGAACAGAGTTCAGTAATTAGCACACTTCACCTAAAATAGTCTGCGAACGTGATGAGGAAGTTGGCAAAGATGAGGAAGACTTTTGACAAGCTTCTCAGCTGAAGTGAGATAACACAATTACTATGACTTTGGCACTGCACAACTGGAACTGCTCCTAGCAAGTAAGATACAGCCCTGCTAAGAGAAAGTCCTTCTCGTGGACTTCCTCCAATACATGACTGGGAAAAGTATTTATTTCTTTCAAATCAGTAACAATTATTAATGGTTTTTTTGCGTCTCAAATTTCATTGCCTCTCAACAGCTGCTTTACCAATTACTGACAATAACTGTGCCATTCAGTATTTTTTATAATATGGGATTGCTTAGAACAATTTTATTTTTTGAAATGTTGTATCTGTCTTTAGGAATTGTATTCTTACCCTGCTGAATGATGGTCTCTTTCTGAGTAGTCTCTTCTGTCTATAGAGAGACAAAACCAATTAAATCTCTACATTCAAACTTGTTAAAAAGTAAGATGTTTTATGATTAACACCTACATGTGTTTCTCTCTCTACCAAAACCACCCCAAACAACCACTTTGCATTTACAGGGTAGCTACACATATTCAAACTAATGCTGGTTATAAAACCAGATTCTTTCAGAGAACAGTAACTTAATAAGACTAAATGCTCTTACCTCTCCAGTTTCCATTGTGCTATTACTGCTTTTCTCTCCCTCAGGTGTTTTACTAGGTTTCTCTTTTGCATATTTTTCCTCTATTTCCTCTTCTTTCTCTGTTCCCTCTCTAGATTCTTCTCCTGTTTCCTCTTCTCCTTCTGCTTCTTCTATTTTTTCTTCTTCTTCTGTTTCTTCTTCTTCCTCCTCCTCCTCATCATCATCTATCTCTTCATCTCCAGATAAGTTTTGTTCCTTTGACAAAATTGCCAAAACATAATTTTGAAACTCAGGGTGTACAGTGATATCATGGTCCTTATCCTACACCAGCTCATCAAGTACCAGGATTTGACTAAGAACAAGAAAAATCAAGAGAATGTTCCAAGCAAATAGACTGAGGACAAAGACAGGAGACTCCACTCATGGTTTGCTAATTTTAATAGATTTTTAAAAAACAGACCTCCAGTGACCATTAGGAATGCAACTGATCTTTATGTTTCACCAACATGTGACTCCTTAGAGAAAAAGTAATGAAAACAAACTTATTTTGGGAAAGAAAATATTTCTTTTAAATGTTTGAAATATGCATAATTGACACAAGCAGTAGTAATTCCAACACTGAAAAAAAAATTTAAAACCTATTTCCCAAGAAAGTTAATAAATACCAGATACGTTTTGATTCATATGATTCAATACAGACATGATAACTTGAATTTTAGTTAGTTTCAGCCTACAATAAACCTTCAATATAGTAAAATAAATTAGCCAAGGGTATTATAAAACAAATTTTAAAAGACGCAAATGTTATTTTTGTAAAAGTTTGTAAAGAATCAATTATATCCTTCTTACTCCATTCAGACTGTCATTACCATGCCATTATGTATTTACAACAGCATGAAATACGTTTGAAACAGAAACATTCTCCTTCTCATTGCAGAAATACAAGGGCCTAAACCAAGTCCAAGACAGACTTCTGATGTCAATCCAGTGAAGATTTATCAGTACATCAGAATGTCCAGAAAAAGAGGAACACATCTGTTCCACCGCAGCCCCGTGTCACGATAGTGACTGGTGGGAAGTATCTGCACAGTCTTTTGGAAGTGTGGTGGAGGAATGAGTCTTATATTGAACACCTTTGTATACCTGAGTCCAAATGTTGTCTCCTGTCTGTTGTCAATGTTTTCCTTATTCTCTCTTACTTCTTTGATCTTTTGCCTGTTATCTCCACAATGACTGTTTTCATGGTCATCAGAAGGTAACTTCCTGGTCAGGAGGAGACCACGAATTAATGTTTCTAGAGGTTGGAGCACAGAGCTCTTTGGTGGAACTCCTTTGCTAAGCACCACTCTGGCATCCCAGGAATCTGAGACATCCTTACATGTGATTTATGGAGACCTGCATTATTCTGGACCCCAGCTCACAGCCTATACCACCTAACATCACATTAGATGAATTTGTTTTGGTCACTGAGCCACGCTCCTCATCCCCCCCCAAAAAATGGTGGAAGTGAGAGACACTCCTTGTACTCCAAAGAAGACACCTACTGTTGTTTAACAGAGCAGCTTCACAGACTAACCCCATTTCCATTTACTGCATTTGCAGCTTGCCACAGATGTCTCTGGCTGTCACCTCATCTGTTCAACTCCTAAAATAGCCCATTTTGAATCATAATTTAAAGCACAGTTTTATCACTGCCACTTCTGCTTGCCCATTTACAGGTATGTTTACGAGAGTTTTTACCAGTGGTGATGAATTATATGAGAATGTCATAATACAGATACGTTTTTATTTTAAAATATTAATCACCTGATCATTAAAAAGAATATCTGAAAAATCTGAGGCTGCTAATTAAGGCATATATATAGTATGTATATATATGTATCATGTATATATGTTACATGCATATATTATATACATGTATAAAATCTCTTCATTATTCTCTTCATCATACGTTAGGGGGTTTGTTTTCTTATTCCACTCTAAATTCCTTTTTCATAAAAAGGTGTTCTAAGAATACCTTCAACAGTTTTACTTCTGATGTTGAGACAGAGGGAAGCTGACTTGGCCAAGGTCACACACAGAAAGTAAAAAGTAGTAAAGAACATACAAGTGACATATTTCAAACTGTTTTCATTTCAGCTTGAGGTTCCAGTTTCTTCAAGGGCAAAACAGTGGTCGGTACTACGAAACAGCTTTAAACATTTTGTACCTCTAGTACCTCAGTACAGCAGAACAACAGTCTAGAAAATATCAACTTAACAAATATACAGAATTTTGTATAACTGTCTTCTTTGCTTAATTTTTTTCATGCCTTTATTCTGGTTTTCCTGTAAATCCAGACCTTCATAACAAGACATTCTTAAGGATGAATTTGCTTTTTCCAGGCTTTAGGGGATGAATAATCTTAGTTGCCCTGGTTTTGGCAAAAGTGTTGCCTTAGTGGGTATAACTGTCTTTTGCTAAAGTGGCTGCAGCTGGCTTTTCTTTGGGCAGATTTATACAGAATAATGACATTTCTTTTCAGAATACTCTATAAAAATATGTTCTTATGTCTACAGGAGAGAGGGAAAAAAATTTCACTCTCTTCCCTATCGTTGCCTCCCCTGGTGTCATGTTCTGGCTAAAAGACGGTCTCACTGAAGACTGAAGACATGTCTCATGGTAGGCCTTGCTCAAATGACAGCTGCAAACTGGGTTTCTCTACAGTGCTGTAACTATTTCATTGTGGATCCCTCCTGCATCATGTATGGAAACTGAGCTCTGGCAGACAAGCTGCTCATAATTAGCCTTTCAGAAGAGAGGGCTTATAGTATCTTTCCATGTCTCCTCAAGAAGTCAAAATAATGTTTGCCACGGCCACCTTATATTTCTAGGGAAGAAAATCTCAAAGCCACTGATGAGACAAATTTGGTTGCAGATTTTTTAAAAATCTGGTAAAAACTCAGTGATGAAGAGAAAGCTGTAATTAATTTGTGTACCACTTGAAATGGAGAGTTCTGGAAAGCTCTGGTTTACAAAGATGTTTCTGTTTTTAGTTGCCTTGGAAACTGTTAAAAATCCAGACAGAAGATTAATAAAGCGAGTTAAGAATGAGGTAGGTAGCTACATGTTTCTTCCTTGGGGGTGTTCTGCTAAGAAGCCATAAACCAGGAATTGCTTAGCTGAGTTTTTAATCATTTAAGGAACAGATTTTTCCGATGACCTGCCCAGCCCATTACCTTTAAGTGCCCAAAAAACATGCCATGGCCCTCTAACATGTCTATACAACAACTGAATGATATAAATACCAAGTAGGAGTTTCCCTGTGAAGTAGAAGACTCTTAGTAGATGGGCGTTATGTCTAATGAGGTTGGTCAATTGGCATAATGCTTCATAAGGGACTGAACAATGCTCCCTTTGTAGAGCACTAGTAAAGACAACTACAAAATACATTTCTAGGACTATCTTTCTGCTTTGATGCAGGACTGAATAGAGGAATAGGTAGAGGAATCAAATCCTATGCTACCTCTCATTTTGCTCTCCAAAAACCTAGTGCACATCAGTGTCACTTCTGAATTGTCCATGCTGGGAAAATGTGCTAGGTTAATATTTTACTAAAACAGCATTGAAAGTAACAGTGTTAACCATGATCTTACATGAAGATGAGAGAGAAAAAATATTCCCAAACAACTCAGTTTACCCTTTATGGATTGGAGATATATGGACAGGTAGGTATGTAACATTTTCTTGATACTGACCATGATGTCAAGGTGTCTGATGTGAACTGACTGGAAATACTACCTGACAAAACTCTTAGCAAAGCTAAGATAAATACCTTGTAGTTTCTTACCCAGTAGTTACAGTGAAAGCTTAATATCTTAAAATCCACATAGTGCTAGCCATTTGGCATCAGGCATTTGAACTGGGCTTTCATTTTGTAGGTATTTATACTGAAAAGTTACTAGCTCAGTTTCTCTAAACCTCAGAGAATTATCTTTTAATTTCAGGGTGACTAAATAAAGCTGTCCAGTTTAATGACTAACAAAAATTCAAAGACATAAGTACTCAAATGAGAGATTTAACAGCTTATCCTTCCAATTACAAAAAGGAAACACAGAATCACAGAAAACAATTAGGTTGGAAAAGACCTCTGAGATCACTGAGTCCAACCTGTGACTGAACACCACCATGTAAACCAGACCATGGCACTGAGTGCCATGTCCAGTCTTTCCTTAAACACCTCCAGGGACAGTGACTCCACAACCTCCCTGGGCAGCCCATTCCAATGCCCAATCACTCTTTTCTGTGAAGAACAAGGGAGGTAGTCAACAAGCCAAACTAGGCTTTCCTTACACATTGTCAAGGAGACAAACAGCTCAGCTAAATACACTTAAAAGAATTTTGAGTGAAGAGCTGAGCCTTGCACCATAACTAGACTTCAAGTCAGTTATACTGGTTTCCTAATTGTACAATTCTATGTCAAGAGCACTTGACATGGATTACCTCATACTTATATCAGCCCCTTAATGCTGCTGTTCTGTAAGTATCCTGGAATACTAATACAACACTGAACTTGTAATTTCAGGCACATAGTGCAGTGAAACAACTGCAAATCAGTTTTATGTCAGGCAGGAGTTTCCATTGCTAAATGTCAATAAAAAACTGAATTTTTAAGATAGTTATACCTTCTTATAAATATGATGGAAAAAAAACATATCAAATTAGTAGATGCCCACATAGTGATACAATGATTATGCTGGACATGTGATGATCAATTATCACAATAGTGCCCTTCAACAGGATGGTGTCATTCTGAGAAAAATGGAATAAAAAAGTGTATACAAAGCTGTAAACAGCATTGTAGAAACTGATTGGACAGACTAATTTTCCATTTTTGTTTTACTAAGCTTTTTTCTGCCAATACTTTGCTATGCAACATATTTTATTTACTAAATGCCAAATACAAGGACTTACAAGTTTCCACAAGTTTCCATTTGTGCACTTTTGTCACAGGCTGGCAGTGCACACACTTTGCATTAAGAGAAGTAATCTGATCACATTTATTAATCAAGACTTTAGCTATCATTCTGAGACTGCACATAGATATTTATTTCAGAGTA